TTGTACAGACACTTTGACTTTGTAATCCATGAATCCATGCTAAACTCTACTCTAAACAAACAATACATACACAACAACTGAAAAACATTAAATACTGACAGATTTTTCAGAACAATTAGCTGCTGCCAAATTTAACAAAAATACAGTAGAACAAATTTATATTCAATTCATAGTGTGAGAAGAACCCAAACATTTAACACTGCAGGGACTGTAATACTTAAGTTATGTATGATACACATCCAAAATACATCAACACACAACAGAGATCATGTTAATAGATCATTTTTCTCAATTAAAATCACATGTATCATGTGTTCTCTCTGAATCCAGGCACTTAACACCAAAACAAAAAAAACCCCTTTAGGACCCTGGAAGTGAAGACCTGCAAATGAAAGGTGGGTGTTGGCTCTGGCTGAGGGAGGAAGGACCTTGGTTATACAATTAGATGAAGCAGAATCACAAAAGACCTCGAACAGACTCCAAGGACAGACCCAAGTAACCAGCAAACATCCCCTTCTCTACTGCCAGCATCTGCCCTCCAAGTACAAGGTTGTGTGATGCTCCATTCCAATTCCACAACCTGCTGGAAACCTCAACAGATGATGGACGTGTCTGTATAGTAACCCTGCTTCTGATTCCTATACTTCAGGTTTAAACCTGCACTGATTGGAAACCAAAATGTTCAAGCAGCTCCCCATCAGCTCTCAGGACAGCAGCAGCAGGCGAAGCTCACGGTGGTTGCTCACCTTTGCCACCGTGCCAGTCCCATGGAAGTTAATCAAAACACTTGACATAGCTTTGTAATGACTCAACAGCCCAACACACTATCATCATCTCTTTCCAACATGTACTGTATTCATGGTTTTCACAATCACTACATGAGTCACAGGCACTCTCAGTGTAAGTTTTACAGGTAGTCTTCATTGTTATTGCTGAGAGTTTAACCCTACCTTCTGTATTTATGGAAACTAAGGCACAGAGGGGAAAAAAAACCCTCCAAAAAAACCCAAAATAAGGAAAGTTAGGAGGAAGAAGTCCCTCACATCTCTATGTTGATGCTACTTTCACACTACTTTCTGAATCACAGAGCAGCCCAGCCAGGGCAGAGAAGCAGCTCTCATTAGCCAGGAGGCTGATAACCACAGGGAGATGAGATAAACCTGTGGAACAGCTGAAATGCCAACAAAAGGTCACACAGCCTGAAAACCATGGCACTGCAGGGCTTCCACGAACAACCTGAAATAACTGTCACGATGGCTTCCTCAAAGAGCAACCTTTGGGTGCAGCACAAGAAGTGTATCTAACATGTCTCTGAGGAGGAAAGAATGGAAATCAAAGGGAGACAGGCATATCCCACAGTCCTGAGGAGCGTGACAGCTGGCACATGATCATCCAGAGGGTAGAGAAATACTTCTGGAGAAAAACACCTTCTGGGAATAGGTCATCATGATAAGTCATCTCAGGTGCTTCAGCCACAAGACTCAATGCCTGAACAGCGCATCTTTTTTCCATCTTTCACCTCTGAACTGATCTCGACTCATCCCAGGAAGATGCTGATACCATGGAAGTGCAGCCATTCACAAAGCAACAGCAGGAACAGGAGCAATAAAGGGCTGCAATCACTTGCCTGGCCTCCCAAATGAAAACAGCTGTGATTTGACAGAGCAGAGGATTTCTCTTGAAACAACTTTTCCTTGGCTCCTGCCCCACCATGTCCCCAGCAGTGCTGCCACCCTAAGCCAAGGGGCTAAAGCCATTGGACTGCATTGCCAGCCAGCTACTATCCACAGGCTGGAAGGAATGCCACAAGCTGATTTCAGATATCTCATTATATTAGACTGCTCTTAAAAACAAACCTGCACGTGGTGTTATGCATACCAACTTTACAAATCAAGCATAGTATACCAACACCATGGAATAAATTATTAAAATGGAAATTCATAGCCCAAACACATGCTTAGATTGCCTAAAAAAATATAATTTAACTTTAAATTAGTATCTTTTCTAGTCAAATGCATAAAACAGAAAAGAATCAATTACATATACAAATCTGTCATTTGTATCAATAAAGTATTTTAGTAAAAAGGTGACATATTCTAATTAATAAGGTTATATTTAAATTATTTCTGACTGCTTATGGTCCAGAGAAAAAAGCCAACATATGTCCTCCTCCAAAGCACTTTCAGCCTACCTAGTTAAGTAGTTTATCACAAATATGCTTTGGAAGAAATTAATTAGCTCATTAGCTCTAACTAATAGTTTGTTTAGCTTTCCTTTGACAAAAATGACATTTTAACAGAGCATATTCTGCTTCTTCAGAAAGCAAAATTCCACATGACAAATTTCAAAGAACATCAAGTACAGCAACACACACCACACCAGGAGCTGCAGAATATTTTAAGAGATTAATATTTCTCTAGCAACAATTAAAAATAAAATACCCTAAGAATGTAACAAAAAGATACACTGATGGACTGCAAATTTTCACAATTTTTCAATCCCCAAAATCATACCATCAATAAAAAACTTAATTCAGGGTAAACTGACTGTGGTGAATCCAAAGGGTGCTTTACTTTTTGTTATCATGGTAATACACTTTTTGCTTTAAAATAATCTTGTGTTTTGAAGAGTTCAATTTCCTTCTCCTGAGCTATAAAGCATTTAAAAAGCCAGATCACTGTCTGGCAATCAATCACCTGCCGTATTTATCAGCTTTCATATTTAATTTTCTAAATGAAGGGAGAACTGTGTAAGGATTTGAAAAATGGGAGGGCTGATACAAGACTTTGAGAACGAGTGCTACACAAAATCACCAAGTCAGCTTTCTTACCTTTCTGAGGCTATTAGATTGGCAAACTAAGGTCCTTTAATGATGTTCACCCCACCCAAGCCTGTTTTTCTCATCAGAATGACCCCGCCTGTTTCCTCTGCACGCCACAGCCCGCGCCGAGACTCTTCATTGTTCAGAATAAGCTTAAGAAATACTAAGAATAACCTCATCATTTCTATCTGCTCCCTCTACACTTCTCTTAAAGTATGAATCTGCCACTGATATAAGGCTTGTGTTAGGGAAATGCTCACATTTAGAGATCACAATTCTACAAAGTGATACAGAATGGAAACATTATGTTAACATATATTACAACTTTTAAAAATACTTTCCATACCTTCATTTTGCAGTTCCCTGTTCGCTCTGCGCCTTTTAAATTGCAAACAGTGCTTACAGAAGAGCTGGAATTAACTTCACATAACAAGTCTAACAGCAGTACAAGCAGCATTACAACATGCCATGTCTTCATGTCCACGCTCAAGAGACAATGCTGTACCTACTCAGCTCCTGAGCTGCTTCTGCCACCTGTCCATAAGGGCAAACACGATGCTGCTTTCCTACCAGACACCTGTTTGTCAGTGTTTGGAGATCACCTGCTCATTTCATAAAGATAGCCTTAAGTGTCTGCAGCTATCCACAGCTCTCCATCACTACAATATTACTGACCTCAAGATGGAATATTCAATATGCCATCACTCAGAACTCTGTATCATCCAGTCCTCCCCCATAAATTTATTTTTAGCTGTCAGAATCAGTTTAATATGATAGTTTAGAAGGAGTTATTGGACGTCTTAAGTTGATATTCAGTGACACGTGAGGAATGTCACTGGCAAGGGGTAGACTTGCTCTTGGCTAGTAAAAAGGCTTACAGCAACCAAAGCAAGAAAAGCAAGATGGCCTTTTCTTCTTCTGGTTCCCAACAGCTCTGGAGACTTATATCCACAAAACTGGGGCTAAAAAAAATTATTAGTACAGCCATCCACAGAATAATAAGCAAACTATTAAGAATTATGACACAAAACCTATTCAGGTTCTTCTCTGAGTCACGTTGTGTGACACAACTGCAGGATCCAGCAGCAAGTGCAGGGCTGTAATCCAGAAGGCAGTAGAACAAAGCCAAGTGAGAGGGAGAAAGGATAACAAGTTCACCCTCTGCATCGCCCAGAAAGGCCCTTCTCCAGTCTCGAGGAAGCAGAAGTGAGTACATCTTTTCTCAGCAAAGGGTCGGATTACTTAAAATGCCTGAAAGGTTATCCCTTTTTCTCAACACTAGAAGAGGTTCCCTGCCCATAGCAGCTCATATCCTTATAAACACCAAGCCAACCAGGAGGTGCACTGGCCTAGAGAAAAGAGACAGTGTACAAATACATGCACACACAGGGAGGAAGGACTAGTCCAGAAGATGCTTTGTCCATCATATTTTCTGACCAACTCCTAACAAACATTTCATGAATTTCTTAAGAAACAAAAAAGCTGAATTCTGAAAAACCTCCTATCCAAATACTGGCATTAAATTGTTTGAGGTTAATTTCTAGTCTTGAGAGGAGCATGGAAAAGCAGAACTGCCAACCACCCCCAGTCAGGCTTGGAGGAAGTAACCAAGCACTTGAACTGGTGTAGCACTTCACATTTTCTCAGTCCTCTCTAAACACTGGCCAACCAACACAACAAGAGCTTCCTTACATAGTTTATATACAAAACCACTGGACCAGTAAAACAAATACGAATTGATAATTCCAAAAATAAATAAATAAGCTTACAGGCTATTGGAAGCCTACTACATTTTACAAGTTCCCCTGTAAGTTCAGCTTTCAGTTCAAGTTCACACTGTACCAGAACCCATGTAAAAATAATCTGTATAAATACACAAAGAGAAATGACACAAAGAGACACAAACACACTACACATATTGGCTGTGAAATACACTAGAGATGTCGTTTCAAAACTGAACTGTAGCTATGCAGCATTTCAAGAAAGCATTAAAAACTAAAAAGAACAAGATCTTTATGTAACTGCATTACAATGTATATAAAAAGATTAAATACAGGTTATGTTCTTTGACATTTTTTATAATTTAATGATCTATTTACCATCAATTAAGAAAAAAAAATGCCAGGCTTAATCCTGATTTAACCTCACCCTTAATTATTAAAAATAGTTAAGCACTTACCATAATGTGATTGAAATGCCTGTGGTTTTACGACCTGATTACAGTGGTTACACATCACCAAATAGAAATCATCATGAGCCGGGCAAAGACCAAATATTGGCATATCTAAAAACAAAAAGACAAAATGGCATCTCTCAGCTGCTGACAATTATAGAAAAACAGTTTAATTACAGAGCCGTGACACTAGTGTTGAATCAAAATTTTAGAGACATTTGTATCAAATTTGAAAATGAGGAAAAAAAAAGCACATAATGCAATAGATAATTTTGTGCTGGAATATTACAAAAGCAAAAATCTTACTACAAAGATAAATGTAAAATGAGCGATTACTTTTAGAAAACATCTATTAGAAAACTGATTTAGGATTGATTATTTTATACCAGATGCAAGAATGCAATGAAAAAAGACTGACTTCAATTGAGACACAACATAAGAGGGGATGTTTTAAGTATTCTGAAAATGGCTTTGGATTTTATTCCAATGTCATTAAATGAATTCAAAAGTGAACTTCATTCGCTATTTAATTTTTTTAAACCATTTTAAACACACAGTCATTCACTGGGCAGAATTACATGCCTAATGGTTTTATTTGTTTAACAGTGCATTATAGTCCAGCCATCTGCTGCCAGAGATCCATGGAACAGCTACACAGGGGAGAGAACCAGAGATAACAGTATGTCAGAGCATGTGTGGATTGCGGAGATAACACACATACTTGGAGACTTTTACAAATAAAATTAGTTTCTACAATTTTGTTTGTAAGAATACAGTTTGTTAAGAATATATATAACAGTTATAACTGCATTCAGAGACTACTGGAGCAATAAATTCAGCATTCACTACACAACTTAAAAGCATATTATATTTACATAGCTAAAAATGTTATTTAATCATTAAAAGACAAAAAACAGGAAACTGCAAACATAATGCGTGGCTAAGGCTCTGTAACACTATTTAAAGGTTAAAAATTGACATAAGCAAACTTTTTTTCTTATAAAAACTCTCAAGTAATAGATTTATCTTAACAGAAACTTAGAAAATAAGTCAAACTTACTTACTCTTGTGCTAGAACTCTGCTAGACCCCAGAGTTTTGTTTTACAGCTAATTTGCCTATGCATGCTTTTAGCAACATCCACTGCTATGTCCATTAATAGAACAGCAATTATGAAATAAATTGTGTTGCACATTGAGTGTGCTGTAATTCCAGGCAACTGCTCACAGAAAGACACCATCCGTCCTGTCCACTTTGTTCTTCACTGACAGAGAACATATCCACACCAAAACTACTTCCAGAACTATTATCTATCTTTATCATAAAAACATTGAATACTTTTATTTAAAAGACATAAGGTCTATCCCACACATTCCACACATCTTACTGGTGCTAGATCAGAATTAAGCATGACACCTGCAATAACAGCCCCAACTGGATTTTGCAGTTGGATGCAAATGCAATGACTGAAGACATCTAACTTGGCTGAAACAGATCACAGCTACCCTCACCTAAGTCACAGGCACCTTTTCACAACTGTGAGGGGAGGAAAAAATCAGATAGGAATAATAAACTTCTATTTTTCAATATCTACTTTTAGTGATGTAATATTAAGCTATGTAAGAAAACAAGTATAAGCTTAAATGTGATTGCTAGTATTTCATGCAGGAGTATTCTCTTTGGGTATGCCTGTGTATCCAAGTTTATACATGGGAACTAATACTCCACGGTCACTTTCACCCAATACACTGGGATGAATGGGACAGTAACAGCATGCCCTGCCTGATATTTACATGGTTGATAGCCCACTGAGAGGCTTCTCCCGTGTGATGCTGAGGCAACTGTAAATCCACACCCTGGAACCTGTTCCCATAGCTGTACCTTTTGAACTGGGCTGGATTCTCTGACTTTACACCAGCTTGTTCTGAATGCAGGGGGGAATCATTAACAGGAGAGAAGAATTGCAAGATAAAGCACTCCTTCACACCAGTCAGAGACACCACATCCATGTACCATCACGCTAAGAAACCTTCTATGAATATTTGCTGGCAATACAGAACTGCAATTTTAAATGGTAACTGAGACAAATTGAGAGAAATTGACGTAAACAAAAGTATTCTCCTAGTTCAGTTTGAGGGTCTCAAGAAATCTGAATAATTTACAAAGGTCCTTTACACAGTGAAACACCTTCAGTTTTAAAATCAACTCCAAGTGACAGAAAGCAAAGACAGAACACAGCAGGAAATACACAAACTCACAAAGTGACCATTCTAAGAATGAAACCACTTGACACAGAGAAAAAGGATTTGCTGCACACACAAATTCACAACCTGATTTCAAATGAAGTCATGCACAAGACTCCAGCCAGATCACACAAATCAATGTAAAAGATCTTGTACCCCACAGTGGTCTCCTACAGCTCCAATATCAGAACAACATCTCAACATAACCAGCGAAGGAGTAGCAAAGGTTAAAAGCCTAAATGCAATTTAACAATGGCTTTGAAACTCTGAGCAGTGTGACCCAACCAAGATCATTTAAGGCAACTGTAAGTGACCTGAGCCCACCCTTCCCAATCTAGGAGCCTCATTCTTAGGCAGGTAAGCTCTCACATCTTTATAGTGTGCCTCACTGTCATTAGCTGAGCAGGGCAAGAGCAGGTTTCAGGGAAATCTTACTTCTCTGTGTTCCAACAGGACAAACACCTATGTGGCACCGTTAGAGAGTGACAAATTAGCCCATGAAAATTTTAGAGAACAACATACAGAACAGTTTAACGAAACTTACACAGAAAGTAACAGGAGTAGGTTATGGATGCCTTATTTTTCTGTCCCATGTCAGCCATTTAGGAAAGTTCACATATATCATGCAGTTGTTATTCTAACATCTAATACTTTATACCTGGTCCACTTCATGACATGCACATTCTCTATTTAGAAGTCTAATGAAGTTTCTAGTATTTCATCTCAATGAGTGTCATCTCAATGCACTGTTACTCTGGGTTTGAAGATTACTTTTTGAAATACTTCACTATGTAAAGCCTGTGCCTCTTAAGGAAGAGCCTGGCAACCGTGATTCATATGTTCCTCTTTCAAAGCTGGGCTCATTTAACTCTCTCCATCTGGGAATATTTTTCAAGGTCAAACTAAAAATTTAAATCAAGACCTCAAACCTTCCATGTATTTTTCCATAAATACAGTATTCATTGTATCAACATACAGATACTATTATAAGAGCTGTTAGTTACATTAATTCTATTAACACCAGAAAGAAAAACAACTTCATTTGCCTCCATAATAGGAAGCCTCTGGACACTGTCATCTCCAGAATTCACTTCTTTCAAACATAACTGAGTTTTTTTTAAAATAACTTCAAATTATGCATTACTGCACTCTTTACTAAGACCAGAACAATCCCATGCTATACACAACTCTGACATAACTGCATCAGTTGTTGAGCATGTAATAAGGAAAATGCTTCTTGCTTGGAAAAGGTCAATGTAGCATCATTTTCTAACAACAAAAGAAAAAGCAATAATGGATAATTTGGCATACTGTACATAAAGTAAAATAGAGCACAGCATGCCTCATCTGGAAAATTTTCTTGCACTGATCTGCCATCTCTTCTTCTCTGAAACACATTGTGGAAACACACAAATGATTCAATAATTTTTTTGTCTTTCCAGCATTCTCTTTCAGGACAGCTACACTAAAGAAGCACATGCTCATTAGAAGTGTGCTCAAGTACTCTCAATCTCTCGATTCTATTACTTAATATCATACAGAACACATAAAACAGGCTAAAACTACCACAGGTAGAGAACAGGACAGCAGCTTGCATTTATTTAGCCACTAGATTTCAGTGACTACCAGTGCTACGTACTTTAAATGGATTTTTCTTTTTTAACTCCCCAAATAAATCAAATTTCCTACAAACCTTGTTGCCTCTTTTCAGACAGGGGCCATTGCACAGTCCATCTATCCTAGTATCTAATAAGACAACATCTCTTCTAGAAATGAAATTAAATATCAACAAAAAGTGAGGACAGCAAATGCTGGAGGAAAAGAGTAAAGGCAGCCTGTGTGCAGAGACCAGAACATCAGTTTCCTATGTGCCAGAAGTCTGCTTACTGCAATTCAGAGGAGAGTGAAAACTGAATCAGAGGAAGAGAAAGCAAAACTACTGAGAGGTGAAAGGGCAAAGAACAAACTATCAAGGTTATGACAAAAGAAAAGAAAACTTGATCAAAAAAAGCAAAAGGAGTATGTAAAAGCTCCGCAGAAATATTTTTAAGCCAGAACATTGCTAATGCTTGTTCTCCCCTACCCATTCTCAGCATAAACATCTGCTTATTAAGATTGGTTTTTAAAGTCCACGCCTGATTTATAACAAAGATGTACACACTACTCACCACTAAGCGTAATTTTACAATGGACATTGTAGGCTGATGCCTGATGTGAACAGTAAAAAGTTTTGGCTTTGGAAAAGATTCCACAGAACAGCATAACATACCTTCAGCACTACACTAACCTGGTTATACTTCCAGAATAATTTTAATCACCACAGTTAATATTAGATGCATTAAAATCACAATGCCCTACACTATTAAATTTATACTGACAGCCCGGCTATAACTCTATTATCTATCTCTATTATAATCCCTCAAACACAGAATTTAATTTTTTTTAGTGAAGTCTGATCCAAATCCACCTTAAGTAAATGTACTAACTTTTATCAATTTACTAGTTTTTCCATTAAGACATCAGGGAACTGTTTCAGAAGTACTATATAAGGAAATTGTAAATAGATCCCATTATTTTGAAATGTTGCCAAAATCTGGATTGTTTGAACTATTTATTTCATGGACCAAGTAAGTTTAAGTTATGTCCATCAACAGCTATCTTGAATACACTTGCTCTGTACTAGCTGGGTTTTGTCTGTTCTCATTAGAAGGTAATTAGTCTTGATCATACTAAGGTAAAAAATATGTGAGTACACCTTGTTTTAATTTACCTGGCAGATCTCTTTTTTTACAGGCACACTTTTAGTAGAACTTTTATTTAAGAGAACTCTCCACTAACATCTGAAAAATTTTTGAAAAGGGGAGAAAAC